GGTATTGCCCATCTGGTGATGTCCATGTGTACAGCCACCTCTTGTGTTGTTTGAAAAGAGTGTTTGTGATGACCAGCTTGTTCTCTTGAAAAAACTCTATGAGCCTTTGCCCTGCTTCATTTTGAACTCCAAGGCCAAACTTACCTGTTGTTCCTTTTATCTCTTGATTCCCTGCTTTAGCATTCCAGTCCCCTATAATAAAAAAAGAACATCTTTCTTTGGTGCCTGTTCTAGAAGGTGTTGTAATTCTTCATAGAATTGGTCAGTTTCAGCCTCTTCAGGATTGGGGGTTGGTGTATAAACTTCAATGACTGTGATGTTGAAAGGTCTGCCTTGGATTCATATTGAAATCATTCTATCATTTTAAAGACTGTATCCCAGTACAGCTTTTCCCACTCTTTTGCTGACTATGAGGGCTACGAACTCTATTTCTTCTACAGGATTCTTGCCCACAATAGTACTGTAGACATGATAATCGTCTGAACTGAATTCACCAATTCCCGTCCATTTTAGTTCACTGACACCCAGGATGTCAATGTTTATTCTTGCCATCTCCTGTTTGACCACATCCAGTTTACCAAGGTTCATAGATCTTATATTCCTGGTTCCTATGCAGTATTTTTTTTTTTTGCAGCATAAGACTTTCCTTTCACTTCCAGGCACGTCCACAGCTGAGTGTCCTTTCGGCTTTGGACCAACCACTTCATTAGCTCTGGAGCTACTTGTCCTTCTCCTCCGCTCTTCCTCAGTAGCATGTTGGACACCTTCTGACCTGAGGGGCTTCTCTTCCAGCATCATATGTTTTAGCCTTTTATTTCTGTCCATGGAGTTTTCTTGGCAAAGATGCTGAAATGGCTCATCAGTTCCTGCTCCAGGTGGATTGTGTTTAGTCAGAACTCTCCACTATGACCTGTTCATCTTGGGTGTCCCTGCACGGCATAGCCCATAGCTTCTCTGAATTACTCATCAAGCCCGTTCTTCGTGACAAGGCAGCAATCCATGAAGGGGGGTGGATTGCATAACTCTTGCCATCACCGGGAAAATGTTTATGTTACCATTGTATGCTGTTATGTCTTTTTATCTTACTGTTTATTATTTATTTAATATATGTTTTAATCTACTGTTAAACCACCTAGAATAGTGCCCTCTGCACCAATGGGGTTATTAAACAAACAAACAAACAAACAAACAAACAAACAAACAAACAAACAAATAAATATTCTCTAAGGCTTTCATGGCCAGGATCTGATGGTTGCTGTGGGTTATTCGGGCTAGTTAGTTAGTTAGTTAGTTAGTTAGTTAGTTAGTTAGTTAGTTAGTTAGTTAGTTAGTTAGTTAGTTAGTTAGACAGACAGACAGACAGACAGACAGACAGACAGACAGACAGACAGACAGACAGACAGACAGACAGACAGACAGACAGACAGACAGACAGACAGACAGACAGACAGACAGACAGACAGACAGACAGACAGACAGACAGACAGACAGACAGACAATCCAGTCCCAAGAATAAACAGCCCTTTCAGTATAAATAATTAACCCTGAATTCCAGGTGCCTTCTGCCATGTTCAGTGTGTTAACTCTCCATGCTTCTGAAGTCAGGAAGAGCCTCTGCTCCCTTAGCTTCTGTGCCCAGCTGCAATACTGGAAATTAAGAATGCAAGGGCACTTTGGATCAGACCAAAGGAAGCCCACAACCAGGGCATATGTGCAATAACATCTCCTGCTCTTAACTGGCATATGGGTGCACCAATCCTGGAATAATATAAACTCTTCATAGATAGCTGCCAGCTCATTGAACTTGTTTACTTCCCAGATAAGGCTGTGTAACTCTGGCCATAATGTCTGAATACACCCCAAGAAAATTATTTTCACATGCATTACCAGAGCTGGCCATTAGAGGGCACAGGAGACCATGCTATGTATAATTCGCTAACAAGTATTCATAGTACGGTTTCTGCCTCCCTTTAGTGGCTCTTTCTGGTAATATACGTGAAAATAGTTTTTCTGGATCTTTTTTTTTCTTGCAATATTTTTAATATTTTCAAGACCATGAAGATTGAGAAGAGATCCTGCTCCTCCTCTGTATGACAGCCTTTCAAGTATTCGAAATTTACTATAATATTTCCCCTTAGTCTTCTTTCCTCAAGGCTAAACATGCCCAATTCTTCAAGTCTTTCCTCAAAGGGCTTGGTTTCTAGCCCCTTGACCATCCTTGTTGCCCTCCTCTGAACTTGTTCCAGTTTGTCTTGAAGTGCAGTGTCCACAACTGGATATAGTACTCTAGATAAGACCTAATTCATACTGACTAGAGGGGAAATAGCACTTCTCAGGATTAGGACTCTGTGCTTTTAATGCAGCTTAAATAGCATTTGCCTTTCTTGCACCCACATTCAGTTTGGGATCTTCAACAATTCCAAGATTTTTCCTGCTCATAGTATTACTGAGCCAAATATCCCCCATCTTGTAACTGTCCTCCCTTCTAGGTGCAGAACTTTCCACTTATTCCTGTTAACTTTCATTCCATTGTTTTCAGCCCACTACTCCTGCCTATCATTTTGGACTTTCTTTCTTTCTTCCAGGGTACTAGCTATTCCACTCAAGTTTGTGTCATCTCCAGATTGAATAAGCCTTCCCTGCACCTTCTCATCCACGTCATTAACGCCAATGTTGAAGAGCACTGGCTTCAGCATTGAACCCTATGGTGCTTCGCTTGTCACCTCTTCCTAGTCTTGAGAAGGAGTCATTGATAAGCACTCTCCAAGTAAATCAGTACATTGCTTTCTTTTATATTTGATATCTAAATTGTAATATTCTGTACCACTCAAAAGCCAAAAACTTATTCCCAAAGATAAAACAGAGGATAACAAATCCAACTGTATTTCTTTTTTAATAAGAATTGGGATACTGTGTAAGTCTTAACATTTCTTTTGGAACCGATTTGATAGTAGCTGAGTCTTTCTAGAATACAAGAAGGAAAGTTCTGTTCAGTTCTGAGTTTGGGATATTTTGAATGGAATAATGATCAACATAAAGGCAGTTTCCCAAGCAAAGTTATTCTGGCATTATGCATTCTTTTGTTACAGCCTTTTAAGATACTGGAACATTTTTAAAACAAGAAGCACCAGTTTCCTGAAGGGGAGACTCAATAAATTTTCTATAACACATTTTTATCAGCTTGAGGACATGTTTCCTTATAGGTCGTCAGCTTTGGAAAAATGACAAACCTGGAAGAAAACAAAATTCTGACCTTTAATCTTTACTACATAATATTTCATTGTCAACCAGCATTTGTTGGGAGGCAGCTGTAGAGTTTAGTGTGTTTAGAATTTTAATGAAGATGAAATTTATCATTCTTCTCCTGAACAGAAGAGACATATACATCTGGTTTAGTTACATATTTCTGTTAGAACAAAACAGTGCAATAGAAATTTCGGTAGTTGATAGTGCTTTGCTTTAAGGAGCTACTGGGCCTAGTGGATTAATCAGCTTTAGAAGAGTCCAGTATTGCTCTGCTTATTGTTTTCATAGCATTTATTTAGATTTTCCAAGTGCTTATCTAAAGCCTTAATTTCTCAAAAATGTGCCTGGCATTACAGCTCTTAAAAGGTCAGGTTCAGAATTCTTACACAGAACAGGATGACTATAGTTTGCTTGTCCCACTTAACTTGCAATCTGTTGGTTTTTCAGTATTTCCACCCCTTAAAAGAGCTAAATATTCAATTTTTAAACCTTTTGGTGGAAGGCTCAGCTCACTCAGTCATAGCCCTAACTCACTTAGATCAACACAATTCCAAATTGTCAAGAGATAGCACATACACACCATCATGTTTACCACAAAAAAAATAAATAAATCATTATTCCTTAGTGGGAATCACATAATGGGCAACAACCAAATGTATCCTGCTACAGAAAGTAGTATTATGCATTCGTAAATCATAGTCTACCTTAAGTGAATGAAGTCAGTAGCATGTATCTATATGCAAATTCTGATCTGAGACTTTCATTTTTAAGAAGATGATATATGGTACTAATACCTCTAAGTACCAAAGGAAAAATAAGACTTTCATAAAATGTATCAAGTTTTGGGGCTTGTCTATTAACAGAGTCAGCATTCCTAAAATTGCTCTATACTCTGTTTTCTCGAGATTAGTTCTCTACATGCTGTTTTCCATGGTTCAGTTTCTAAATAAAACAATCTAAGAGACAAATTACAAGACCAATTTTTTAAAAACAAAAAAAAGTCATCAAGAGAAGATGAGCAGCTGCTGAAATCTTCCCTTTTTGCAGCTTGCCTGTTAAAAAAGAAACCCATTACACATTGCTCCCCGCTTAGAACTTGAGATAGCAGGTGAGGACTCACAAAACTTAATGATCAACCACAAACATGCACACAGAAATGCAGGTGAGAAGGATACTATGATATACATCACTCAAGCTGGAAAGGGGTTAGCTAAGGTTTACAAAAAGAACAGCCATTGCTTCCCCTCAGTCAAACACACCAACACCCCTCCTCACTATTTGGAGAATGGAACTTAACCAGCAACACTCATCAAGTGGTGCAATGGTTAAACTGCAGTACTGCAGTTAAGTCTCTGCTCACAACCTGTGCTTGACCCCAACAGGTTCAGGTACCAGGCTCATGGTTGATTCAGCCTTCCAAGGTGGGTAAAATGAGTACCCATCTTGGGGGTGGGGTGGGGAGTGTTCCTTGAATAACTATGTTGTAAACTGCCTGGAGAGTACTCTAGTTCTATGGGGGCAGTAGGCAAACTGAAGCAATCATAATCATCTTCTAGTCATTGCTCCTGAAGAAGTCAAAAGGATATCTCTTTTTTTCAGCCCAAGCCTCTTAGTACTTTGTTATTTCACGTACCTTTGGTAGAACAGAAGGATAAGCTGTTTTGTGAAAGGCTGGGAAACAATCCCCGTTGTTTCCATGTGTCAGGAAGATTGCCCACACTCGTCTCTATGCCCTCTACTAAGCACAGCAGATTCACACGGATTTCAATTTAGCCTAAATTCAAATTCAAGAAACTGACTTTAACTGCAGTTGTTAGCCTTCAAGCAAGTGTTTCCACTGCAGTTTATTTAAAGGGTCACAAAAAAACATGTGTCTTGAGGTAAATTTAGCAATGACCATTACACAATTGTTTATGAATGCTACTGTTGTTTAATCAGAATTGACAGAGGAGGACTGGATTATATTCATGCCTCCCAAATGGACTGTTTTGATACACTGTGGGACACTGTTGGAGGAAAGTCATGCTAGTGGGAAAAATATAACCACAGTATTTTTCTATCACATGCCATTTTCTATCACTTCCACTAGGAAGTAGAGATAATATCATAGCCAGGCTTGAAGTATAATAAATTTGTGTAGCATTTGTTGCAAACACCTATGTTTCTGATTTCCAGATTCTGTTTCAAACAAATTCAATGAGAAGTGTTGTGCTATATTAAAAGACTAACAAGTTATTTTGGGGTAAGCTTTTTGTGAAGCAGAAGAAGCAGAAGAAGAGTGTGCCGCCCAGTTGATTCCAACTTATGGTGACCGTTTTCAGGGTTTTCTAGGTAGAGAACATGCAGAAGTGGTTTACCATTCCCTTCTTCTGAGGGCATCCCGAGACTGTGCAGTTTGCCCAAGGCCATGCAGTTTGGCTCTTCTCCCTGGAGAAACAGTGGGGAATCAAACTCCCAACCATACCTAAACCACTGAGCTATCCAGCCAGTTTTTGTGAACTATAGACCACTTCATAATATGCAACTCATCAGCCAAAACTTATGCATAATACATTTAAGGATACTTCTGTTGTTTTTCCTCTTCTAATGTTGTCTCTTCCCTCCACTAAAGAGATGTATAATATTATTCATATACGATCGCTGCTCCTTGAGAAGTTTGAAGTGAGGGCCACATGCTGTGCCTTCAACAATGTATGGTATTGATGCACTGATACCAGTTCCTTCAAGATTTATGCTTAGCTTGTATTAGACTCTTGTCAATATTCAGTTGCTCATATTCCTGGACAAACAGAGTGGGGAGACTAAAAGACTGCCTAAAGTCTATTTTTTATATGCTTGTTTTTGTCAATATTTTAGGTGCACCACCAGCACTGCAGCAGGTTACGAGCTCAACCTATATTGCCCTTCCATTTTGTTTTTGCATTCCACAAGTTCAATGCCGATAGCTACAAATGAATTATGATCATTTCTATAGTATGAAAAAATCTGGCACAATATTTAAAAGGGGAATATTGCCTGAGAAACAGAAAACAATTTGACTTGGGACCAGTTCGCATGACAAGAACTGCCACACTGAAAATAAACAATTCTATGTGATTATGTTTATCACAAAAAGCTGAGCAGTTGGGTACTTTAGGGTTTGAACTCCACCTATGCCATCACACCAAAAACTCATCAAGAGATGGGACAGCACTGCAGAATCAGATGCATATTAGGACATGGTAGGAAAAAAACAAAAACAGAAACACATTCATAACAAGATGTATTCAAAACAGATCAACATTTATTATTCATTCATTAATTACATTTATATCCCTCCCATCTAGTGGCAAGCCACTACTCTGGGCAGCTAACAACATATAAACGCACAAATCACCCACAGAAAACATCCAGATCATTAAAATGACTAGAAATGAGACACCTCCCCCCAAGACAACTGCAAATGAAATTCAAATATAATCACACAGGACAGCGAGATAATAGGGAGAGGATGTTTCTGAAGGCCTCTGTAAACAGCTTTGATTTCATGGTTTCCTGAAGACTGAGGGAGTCTAGTGTATATGCACAGGCAATGTGTTCCACAATGTTGCGGCCACCACAGAAAAGGTTCAGTTCCTAGAGGTAGATTTCCAGGTCTCTCTTGGGATGACTACCCATAACCATGAAGTCTAAGAAGACTGGGTAGTTTGGGTAGATAATCTTAGGGAAAGCCACTCCAACAGGGAGCAAGGTCCCAATTCGTTAAGAGCTTTATGAGTTAATACTAGTACTTTGACTTTGGCACATGTCAGTTTAGTTATGTAAACTGACACTTCATATAAATATGTTGTTAAAAGCAATTCATTCTCAGTTAATACATATCTCTGTGCAGGAGGGCTAGACATTTGACATTCCTGCTACTGAACATAAAAGTCTTTCCTTGCTTCTGCATTATGATCTATGTTAGCAACTCCAAGACATGCAACATGGTAGACGGAAAGCATCACTGGCCCGTTTTGTACATCATAATGATATAAATGTAAGGCAGGTTTTGTTCTTGGTTTATAATTACAGACTCTCAGCATGGCATGGAGTCCGAGATCTGATTTGGATCAATACTAAACAGACCATAGACAGAGATTCTGTAATTTGTTCAGCTTTTCCTACTGGCAGGAGCCAAAAAGGAGAAATCAGGCACCACATACCACTACACTTGCTCATTCATGGTAACCTGCTACATCTGTACTGACCTGCTGTCTGGAACCCCTGGAGCCTCCTTCAATTGCATAATAATTGCTAGAAGCATGCAGTTAATAAAGATGTGTTCAGAAATTACCCAGCAGACAACATATATTTGGGAATCTTTAAAAAGCTTTCAACAGAGCACTTCTCCAAAGTCTCTTGAGCAAACATAGGAGTCAAAAAGTAAAGCTAAAGATCTACTTTATAGAATAGGAAAGTTCACCTAGTACCGAACATTTGTAGTCCATCCATGCTACAACTGTGCACTTCTTTGCTAGCTACTATCAAAGACAAAGTGCTGCAACTTAGGTAGGCCACTCCACTTACGCCACTCCATCTTACGTTTATGTATAAATTACAAAGTATTGGTTTGTGAGGTTAAGTATGACAAAAATCTGCTCCGAAACTGAAGTCTTATAACAGACTCTGACCAAATTTAATACCTTAGTTCCTTTTTGCAACTGAATCCCATGCACAATTTTAATTAGCTGTTGAAAAGAACCAGTAATATGTGTCCAGAATTGATAAGTACAATACTTTTGAAGGTTTAAGAATGCCAGCAAATAAAGTAATTCTCTTTGATTATTGGGGGGGGGGGGAATAAAATACAATAAAAATAATACCTATGTGTATCTTGGATGTCTAACAACGCTAAACAGGCATCCCAATATTCAAAAATCTACACTAGGTTCTTTATCTTCAACTCACACTGTTGCCCTCCCTTTATAATTATCTTGGACTGTCCTCCAAATTTATTTCCCCCACATGTCCCTGTTTCTTTTCCTTTTCTGTACACATCTCATTAACCTCAAATACCTTGAGCAGATTCACACATATAACAATAAGTCAGAATTCCTAGTGGACGCAGACCCTACACTAACAAATTTCCTTTGTTTGGGAACTATAAGCCAAGATCCTGGGCCTGGGCATAACAATAGGTTATCCTGATTAGTTTTACCTTGTTATATGCAGAAAAGAACTAAGCAGGAATGAACATTCTGCAAGACTTATGTGAGACTATGGCCACTGTATGTAAAATTAAAAAAAATCCCAAATGAAGAGAGCAACTGTTGGGAAATACCCATAATAGGATAGACATATTCTGCCTGGCAATGACAAACTGCCATAGATGCTGGGAGTAACTATCAGTCTCCAAAAGACCCTATTGTGTATATTTCCCTTGAGAATCCACCAAGCTGGCAAAAGCATCTTCTGACTCCTACTCCTTAACCCATCTTTGCTTTATTTCTGAATTATGAATGTTTATGATTCCCTAACAGGTGCAGGAATCTGAGTAGAGAGCTTGTTAACCTGGTTCTGTGCAGTTCCTCTTATCTTTTGGGTTGTATGATTTCAGTAAACAGAGGTTATGAAATAAAAATGTTAGATATAATGTGTGCAGTATGTATCACCTTCTAGTTAAGTTCTACTGTAACAGGACAAAAAAGATGAGCTACAAATTATGTATTGTATATGTCATTTTCTATATTAAACTAAGAATCTTGCAAATTAAATGCTTTTTTCTAAGTGGTAGTATATAAAGACTACCAAGTGTGTTATATCAAGCTATTATCCCTCAACATAAATGTTCGCTATGTGAAGCATACAGAATAGGAACCCCAATTTTAAAACCTACTTTAATATTATTAGTGAGGAGCAAGTATTTCAACATGGTTCTTCCCAGTGAACTCCAACACTAACCACTACGTCATACTGACCATTGGGTTCTTGTACATAGAACATCTATGACATCTCCTCTTCTTTAAATCTCTCGTCAAAACCACTTCACTTAAGGTTTAATTTTCAGTTTCCACCCTAAGCTACAAGGATCTAAGCCCACATCACGCGTTGCTCTACATTCACTCTCTTTACTTTAGTCTGTTAACCTTCTCCTTCTTTCTCTTCTTCTCTCTGCTAAATTTTACTCTGTACGCTCCAATGGACCAGGTAACAAAAATTGTTGGCAAGAAGGTGTATTACTACAGACCTGGCAAAACAGATTGACAAAGAACAAGACAGACATTTGAAGTAAGAGTAAGGTCAGTTAAATTGGAGTGCTATTTGCAAAAGTGGTTGTGTATAGACAGTGGTCTTTAAAAGAAATCTAGTCCCTTTTTGTACAAATGTCAGTATTTAATTGTAACCATCAGACATAGGTCTAGAAATAAGTATTTGCCTGTCTTCTAGAAAGAGAGAAAATGTAAAGTTCATGGACAGCAATTTTCCTATTACCTTTCTTTTCTTCTTCATTTTCTACAATACACAGTTGCCTTATTTGCTGCTATATCTGTGATGCTAAGCACATGTCAATGGATATACTTCCAAATTACATACTTCCAAGTAATTAGCTAGCAGTTGGGGGAATACATTAATAAACCATAGTTCAGACTGTCTAGACTATCATTTGTCACACCAATTAGCTCAGTATGGATGAAGAGATGGGACACACAACACTGCCACAAACGTATGCAGGCCAGGCATTCTCCTAGCTGTTCATCTTACTACTACCTTATAAGACATGGTCAGATTAGGTATGTCAGTGGTACTTCCTTG